GGCGTTGTGGCCGGTGGCCGGGGTGGAGGGTTGCCACCAGCCCAAACCCTTCCTCCCGCTCGCTCCCATCACTGGGACTGTTTCTGTCAGGCTCTAAGCCTGTGGCAGTGGCATCACCTTGTGCTGTGGGGCAGGGAGCGAGGGGTGCAGGATGGGGCCGGGCCCCCCAGCCTCCGCAGGACAGGCAAAACAAGTGGGGCAATACTGTATCAAGCAGAGACTTTGCAGGCGTGTCCCACCTCCTGACCCTCTGCCAAGACCAGGTACCCTCACGATGCGATCCTACAGCTAGCACGGCTGGAGCATTTTCACCACCCTTCCCAGTTTCCTCTTTGCCATCCCAAGAGCTTTTCTGAGTATCTCCTGCCTCTCACAGCATCTCCCCACTCTTACAGCCTGGCCAGGCGCTTCCTGCTGCCCAACAGCTCCCACCGGCTCCTCGGCGATGCCCACCTTGCTCTTTGAGCCGGATGATCTCTGTGTCAGAGCCAAAGCTGTTCCAAGCAGTGCAGTTGTAAATGGTTTGGAAATCAGCCCGGACGATGTTGCTGATGGTCAGCGTGGAGATAACACCCTCGTCCGTGCTGACCGTCTCCACCGTGTAGCGCCCGGAGGTCCCAGATTCCAGGACGTTCTCCTTCCAGGACCAAGCCTGCCAAGCAAAAGAGGGGTCAGCTTGGGGCAGGTTTGCCCACCGTAGGGCACCCTAAGGTGTGCAAGACACCCAGCGTGCCCCGCGAGGTGCTGCCCCGTGGGATGCTACTCACAATTCGGTCTGGTGGCGGGGTGCTGCGGATGAAGCACTTGATCTGCCCCTTCTGGCCATGCAGGGCGTGCTGCGTCTGGGTGCTGGAGATGATGGGTGGCCCTGCAAGAGAGAGGAGAGGGCTGCTGGCGTCTCACATGGGTGGCTGCAAGGCAAGGCACTGGTGGCAGTGCAGCAGGGTGTTAGCAGGGTCACGGAGGGACGTCAGAGTCCCCTCGCCTCCCGTGACGCAGGACAGAGCGGGGGCTTTGCTGTAAGGCTCTGCTGGTGTTCTGCAAAGCCCTCACAAAGCACCAGGGTCTCCCCATCTGCTCCCACATCCCTGGCGTTGGACGGTGATTAAATCACCCCACGGAAAGCTCCTTGGTGAACCCGGCCTCTGAGCAGGGCTGTTTGCTCCAGAAGCAAAGCAAGAGCCCAGCCCGCCTGGCGTTCCTCTTCTGCGCTCGCTGGGGTTTGTTAAGCAAGCGTTACACTAATTGCTCCCCAGGGGCTTAAGGAAGCGGTAGGAGGGCAGAAGGGGACACTGACGGGCAGCTGCTACCTGCAAGCTTCCACCAGCGACCTGCAACCAGCCTGCCCGATGCAGTGGAGAAATTTCTGCTGGAAAAAAGCTTGGGAGCCCATCAGCTGGGCTTTCTTGCACCATTTGGAAGCCAAAGGAGCCCGGCGTGGCTAGCAAAGGCTCTCCCTGAGCGATACGAGGCCGAATGCACCGGCTGAGCCGGCTTGGGAAGGGAAATGTCCCTGGCTGCCTTGGTGGACATCCTGAAGGCAGGGTTGGGAAAAAAGGGGTCGGGGAGGAGAGCATGGTGGGATCAGAGTGTCTCCCACTCTTTCAACAGCCCTGCCAGGGGGCAACCTCCCCCTGAAGAGGGGATCACCCCAAAGGAGCAGCATGAGACCTGGGATCCTAATTGCTGTTGATTTGCCTCCTTAATTAAAGCAGGTTTGCATTTCTGCGAGTGGCTTGCTGCGGGGAGAGCAGAAACCAGCAACAAGACAGGCTGCAGGCAGGCAGCACAGGGCAGGCAGAGGCTGGCAGATCTCCCCCTGCCCCAGCTCGGCAATTTCGGATGTTCGCTCCCGTTTTTGAGTCTTTCTTTGTCAGAAAATACAGCCTTGTCGTCACGCCCACCCATGCACACGTATGCAGAGCAACGTGCAAAGCCGCTGCAAACACTGCGGGGCCGTGCCAAGTGGAAAAGCTCCAACAGGATTTGCTGCAAGAGGACAACGTGCTGGTGGGGACAACCTCAGTTGGGTCTTTGAGCCCAGGTCTGTGGGATGGTCGGAGTGGGAGAGCTTGCTGTGCTCATCCTCTCTCCCATCACTCCATCCTTTGTGGATTTAAGGATTTTTTCCTGTTTTTTTTCTTTCCCCTCCCGCAGCTGAAGTGTTCCTCTTAGAAAAGTCTCAGGGATTTGGGGTAAAGTGGGGAGAAACAGATTCGCCTGGGTGTTTCTGACTGATTCTCATCCAAATTGCCCGTTAATGAATTTGCAGAATGCACAGAAATGTACCAAAATGCGAAATTCTTCACTCTGGTGCTTCCATACCTACAGTTACCTATTGAAATTATCCCAGCAACACTTTTCTGCACCAAACTTTCACACTCCCCAAATAGTTCCCACCGAGGTACAGCCCTATCCTTCCTTCCCTCTGATGTTCCAAGGCGAGATGGATGGAGAACCAGCTCAATGAAGTGCATTTCACTGACCAGCGACCAGACACGCGGTTCTAGCAGCTCAGGAAATTACTGCTGAAAGCAAGCCGCCGTCAAAATTGGTAATAGCAGGAGCTGTGCGCGAAGGAGAAGGTCAGGACTTGTTTTGATGTCATGGTTATAGCTGTATGTTAGTGGAAACTTTTGTGCCCCTTTTTATCAGAGGGGAAAAAAAAAAAAAAAGACATTTTGTGGCAGTTTTCTGCTTAAATGCTCTTCTCCAAGATGTTCTCCCAAGATGGCAAGGTCAGCTAGGCTTGGCCTTCGCTCCCCGTGTCTGGTGCAAGAGCAGAACCGAGTGCAGACGGCCCTAAATGTGTGCTGGGTCTTTCTCCTCCTGGACGGGACACGCAATGGGGACCCGTTTGGTCCCGTCATCCTCCAAGGGTGGCACATGCAGGATGAGCTTCTTGGCTAGCTAAACACGTGCCAGGTGATGCTCCTGCTCGCCTGCCCGGATCACCGATGAACCCAAAGCCAACAGAGGCAAGAGCAGCGATGGGCTCTGTAGGCCAGGCCTAAATAAAAAAAACCATCTTCTTTCTATTTCAACAGTTGTACGTTACTTATAAATTCTGGAAGCGCTCCAAGACTGGGTGACGCTAGAGAAAAATGGCTTAATAATCATTAAAAGGATCATTTTCCCCAAGGAGAGTGGATTTTAAATGGCACAAATGCCAACGGCTTTGGGTTTTATTATTGCTTTAGGAGTTCAGAGTCGAAGGCTTATCATCATGATAATAGCCTATGACTAAAGACCATTTGTGAGACGAACATGCCCAGAAATAATAGCACAAAGTTGCAGCCTCTTCACATTCGGGGCCGGCGTTTGATTCTCCACCATGCTCTGGCTCCTTATGAAAGCTGCCAATCTCCGGCTTGGCATTCAGCACGAAGTGTGAGACAGCCCACAGGCAGGAAAAAGGCTTTAAACAATGTTGCTATGGATATAAATGATGGAGCTATTGGTTGCGGTTATTTTTAGCATGCCGGTGCCAATTTATTTGCGCGGTCCTGGCGGCTCGCACAAAAGAGAAGGCAGCTTGCTGACTTGGGAGCCTTGGAGGAGTGAAAGGATGGCCTCGACTTCTCCAGCCTGCTTGAGTCCGTCTGAACCTTTCTTCCCAAGCCCTCACAGCGTTGGAAATGGTTCGGCAGCAGAGTCTGGTTTAACTCCTTGCTTCCTGCAGAAACCCTGGGCTGGCTCGTGCCGCCCGGTATTGCAAGGGACCGTCCCAAGGTGACAAGCAGTGGGGAAGACGTGCTCGGTGAAGCCCTCAAAGGGGACACCGTGACGTTCTCCTGATCAAGCAGTGCAGCAGGTCAGCCTCTCCTGTTGCTCCCAGCTCTCCGGTGGGCTTGGCTTGCCTGTTGGAATGAATCCCAGGCAAATTAAATCCTGAATTAGCCTCCCGGGGTTGTCCAGCCCTACTAACACACCTCTTCTTGCAGAGCGAGGCGGGCAGGGGTGGTGGTCCCTGCTTGGCAGCCCCTGCCAAGCCCCGACGATGCGTCGACAGACCGCTCT